TGCCGGCCGCGCCGGGGCGCTGCGGCGGCGCGCGGGAAGCGATCCCGATCCCGGGAAAACCGGGAGCGCCGGCACGTGGGGGCCTCAACCCGCGGCCTTGGGACGCGTCACTGCACGGGAGCCTCGTCGCTGCCGTGGCCCTCGCAGCGGGCGTTTTCTGTTATTCTGCTGTTTTATGTTTCATACAGCCGTCAGTTTCGCTGGGTTTTCTGATGATGTGTTGTGTAGAAAGGACAATTTGCCATGGATCTTCTGCCTTCGTTTCTGAAATTCTCTGCCATGGATTTTCTGCCTCTGGCTATGTAATTCTCTGCCTTTACGCAGCAATATAAATCTACCTGCCTGGCAGTCCCTCCGCTCCACAAAACTGCCTGTTTTTCCTCCTCCTTTTGTGTTTACTCCATCTCTCCTTCCCTAGTTTTGCATTTCTCCCTGTGCCTCTGTCCTGGGACTCAGCTACACAGTAAGTGAAAATCACCACTGAAAATCACCACTGACTCTGTTTTTCCCTTTCTGTCCTAATAATCTGGACAGGTCAAACAGACCCACCATAAGAAACACTCTATTATCTGCTTCATCCATTTTTTAAAATTTTTTTTCAGTTTCAGACTGTCTGGTCCGTTTCTGGCTTTTATTTGATTGGGTTAGAAAAGGCCTCTCTGCATGCTTAAAATCCAGGATTATGGAAGCACATTCCCTTTCGGCTGCCAAACCAGGTCACTTCCACCCCCTGATGAAGCTAACTCGCCCTCCAGGGTCACAACCCTGGGTACCATTAGTTTTCATTTTGAGCCTTGTCCCTGGTTGCTGGTCCCTGTTTCCTCTGCCAGGAAAGCACATGCCAGATCCAACCCCAGTTAGTGCCTTTTTTAATGCTTACCTCTTCCCCTGCTCCTTTTGTTAAATCACGTCACACAGCTAAGCTAGTGGGTTCTCAAACTGCCAAACTGCAACGGGGAAATGACCTTGTCCTTCACGGTGATTCTCTACTTATGGTGCAGTTTAGACCAGGGAATCTCAACTATTTCTTAAATACCTCTTGTCCCCCTCTCTTGTTAGCCCTATCAATCATAGACAGAACTAGCATCTTTCACTCCTGACTAGGAAAAGCAGCTTTACTAGGGATGCTGCACTGCAAGTTGTTTTTTGGTTACCAGACATTACTACTTTCTAATCTACATGACATGTATTTCAAGTTTAATTTGCTCCCATTAAGCTCACCTGACCCTGGTTATTTATGTACCAAAATTGAAATGCAGTTATTTCAGAAATGTTACAATAGTCCACATGGGACAGCATCTTTGGAACTCTCCATCTGAGGTTGAAACTGAAGGAGAGAAACACTTCTAAAGACTGGTTATTTAAAATGCTTTTTATGGTGTCTTAAATAACTAAAACAGTATTTTGTTACAATTCTACATATATATCAGTTTAAGATGTTCCACTTAACTCTGTATCATGTTCAGCATTCAAGATTTATTTTCCAGGCACTGATAGTTAGTTCTGTGTCACCATAAATCCAAATTGAGGCCTTTTACAAATTGTTTACAGAAGGATCAAAGCTTCCCTCCCATCCTTGTGTGATACTGTCCACAGAAAAAGTAAATACTGGGAAAGAATAACATTGCCATTTCCTGAAATACAATTGAAATTTATATGGATAAAGAATATGGATATGAATATGGATAAAGAATGAGAATCCATATGAGTATGGATAAAGAAAACAAGAAACTCTTTCTCCCGTTTATTTTAAGATATATGTATAACGAGGAATTTAAGAATCAACCAGCTCCATTAATATGGTACAATATATTTTTGTTATGTGTTGTGTCAGATCTTCCTGGCAAAGGATTATAAAAATCCCTATTATTGTTGTGGTAGTGATACGTCCTTTGAAAGCAAAGGCTAATTCCATTTGCTGCATCTCATATTAACAGAGAAGTTGTTTCAAACAATTCATAGGAACAATCTATTCTGCAAAGATGATTTGTCCTCCTCAATCTTTGGATATGAGCCAGGTCCTCCCATGAGCTGCATCTGAGTCTCTGTAGCTCCTAGGAACTAGTTCAGCACTTTGACTACACTAAGTATAAAGTAATACACTATGATAAGATGTAATTGTATTGTAATGGACATGTCACTGCCTATCACAGCATCGCAGAATGGCTGAGGCTGGAAGGGACCTCTAGGGATCATCTAGCCCAGCCATGCTGATGGTGAGTTCTTCCATTACAATGTTAATTTTGGAACAGCACTGGAAACCCGTCAGCAAGTTTCACATTTATGAAGAAGAAACTCCCCAAACCTTGTAATTTCCCACCACAGTCTGTCCCTAATGGTGTCAGCAAGGCTTGAGCACTGCAGTCCCCATTGCCTCCAGCACCACCAAAGCAGAACTGTCTCCTTCCAGAGCATCAATTTCCCAGGACCACTGCATTGGCCCAAGACACTGCATGACCTCACTGGGGACTCCCAGCTTCTTTTACAAGCCTCTTTCCCACTCATAATGATGAAATCCGTTCAATCTGAACAATTCTGTAAGCAGGGCTCAAATTCAAATATTTAATTCCCCAGATGGTACCATTGCAGCCTCTTTTTTTTATTATCAACATCAGTAAGAGTACATAACTTTGCTCTATAAACTGAGTTACTTCAGTCTGAATAAACAGTATCTACAAATAACTTTCCTATATGTTTCACTTTAAAATTACATATTCTTGGACTTCCTAATACTTTTTCACGATCGCATAAATCACTTAAGGTACACTTCATTCTTTGTTAAACAAACAGAACAATGGTCTTTTAAAAATAAAATAGCATGTTACTTTTTTCTTGGGAGCTCTTTTCCTTCCAGCTGCCTGCTCAGAATACGTTAAAATATGCTCATTACACTATTATATTATATATGTGTGTGTGTGCATATATTTATATACTAAAATATACTTATTACACTTATTTCTGAAAATCTAGGAGATTTCTGAAAATTTAGGAGGCAGGAACATCTCTCGTTTGAGGAGAGACTGAGAAAGCTGAGCTTGTCTAGCCTAAAGAGAAGACTGAGAGGGATCTTATCACTGTGATACCTTAATGGAGAGTAACAAGAGGCTGTCAGTGGTGGCCTGCATCAGGACAAGAGGCAACGGGCACAAACTGAACCCAAGGAAGTTCTGCCTCCACTTGAGGAAAAACCTCTTGACTGTGAGGGTGACAGAACTGGGGCAGGTTGCCCAGAGAAGTTGTGGGGTCTCCTTCTCTGGAGATGTTCAGAACCCGTCAGGACACGATGCTGTGCAAGGTGCTGACCCTGCTTGTGCAGGAGGTTGGACCAGATCATCTCCAGAAGCCCCTTCCCACCCCAATTGTTCTGTGATTCTGTGATCAGTTACAGACCCAGTGTGGTATACGTGATTTTTCATTTCAGCAACTGTTGGGATTTGCCTAAATTCACTCACTATGCTCTGGGTGTCCTTGCTTGAGCAGGGGGGTTGGACTAGATGATCTCTAGAGGTCCCTGCCAGCCTCAACCATTCTGTGAGTCTGTGATTACCAGCAAATAGTTAAATTCTCCACAGCAGCAGCCACTAAGGTGGCACAATTCAATCCTAAATTAATTCTATATGAATCAAAAGTCTTCAATACCTCCTTCCACCGGGTTATCATTGGATTATGGTTGGGAAGACAGACTCCTCTTGGCTGGGATTTTCAGGCCACTCACCACTTGCCTAGATGTGCGGCCAGAAGACAAAGCTAAGTGAAATAACAGAATGTGATTTTAAAATGCAACAGATATTCTTCCATTATCTTTCATGTGAGCACTTATTTCAAAACTAAGATTCTGCATTTTAGCTAAGGTTTCTTTGCCAGTCATTGCAATTAGTGTGAAACAAGATTATCCAGATTGGATTCTGGTATGGAGTAGCCATTTTTAGTCATTACCCTCCTGTGAATACAGATACAACCTTTCCTAAAAAACAAAATTACAATGGGAGCTGCATCAGACCAATACTTACAGCAGTATAGGATAAGGAGGTGAATATTTTAAAAGAGACTTAGCATTTATATATGTTGAAAGCACCATAAATCTAAATGTGACTATGCTGGAGGTGTCTGAATAGGGAAGGAGATCCAAGCATGTTATTCTGTTTAATGAACAGTATACATTGGGTTTTCAGTAGCTTTGCTCAACTAGGGTACTGCACTAAAAAAAAAAAAAAAAAGGTGAGTGGGATTTCATTGATGGAAATGAAGTGTCCAGAGCCTGGAAACATTTAAGTTATAGGAAACCTCATCCCACTGGGTAGATTGCTTTTGCACAACCTCAGCTTTGGATTAAGCTCTGAGGTAGACAGTATTTGCGTACACAGCAGCTGCAGGGGATCACTTGCTGCGATGGCATCTAAATGTTAAGGAAGGATAAAAAGAAAACTCAATGTCAAACAAAAAGGCATTTTTCTATTCAAAATAGCACTGCAGTGCCTGGTGAGATGTAGTTTTGTTCTGTGCTCCCTCCCTCGCTAGGGGTCGGAGTATCTCCTTCCTCCTACCCTTAGAAGCAGGAAAACATGTTAAAAAATATCCATGCTGACTGCCACATCACGAATGAAATGGTCTGCTCAGGAAGCCCTGCAAGAACTTAACAGAGGCTTCCTGAATTGTAACTGCTGGTTTTATTCAGAATGTTGTTTTTTTTCAGGAAAAAAAAGAAATCAAAAGGCAAAGTACTAGAATTGGGGAGGAAAAGTCACTAACCAACTTTCTGTGGAAAATGAATTGATAAAACCCACTTAATTGGTCATCTTCAGCCATAAAGAAGAATGAAATGTCACCCTCATATGTAGTTGACCATTAAAGCACAG